CAGAAAAGTGGATTTTAGGGTCTGGGATCTACTGTTCTATTTTAGATTTGTTAAGCATAGAGACCTAAGGCAGTTAGATAGGAGCTTGAGTGAAAAGTTGGAATTTTACTTTTTTTAAGTGAATACTGCTACTTTTATTTTTTCGTATTATCTTTGAGTTCTTGTTTGCATTTGTATATTTTTTTTAAATAGCTGTAATCTCAGCTTCTGAAATAAAGTATCTTAATATTTTTTTTAGATCTTCTTTTAAAGCTGTTGGTTCGTGAAAGGAGACTGTGGTTCAAGAGTTTTTATTCCCTGTCCTTGTGTGCTGTTGATCAGGCCTTTTTCAGAAAAGCTTGCTCAGCTCTTGCTCTGAGAGACCATGTGGGTCATGTAGCTGGAGCAGAGCACTTGTGAGGCCACAGAGAAGCAGCTGAAGTGGAGTGTACTCTAGGTTGTGGGGCTTCCTGGGAATTTGAAGTTGTTTGGCCTTTTTCCAGGGACTCCTGTGTTGACCAGTTTTCAAGCCATCCAGTAGCAAACGAAGAGGGAAGGACCTGAACAGATAGCCTTTCCTTATGTCCACTTCAAGGACCAGGGCTTATGCTTAATATGGGTATGGGGCCTGAGGGCTGCTGTTCGGGGAGATTTCCTAGGCTTTGAGTTTGGGTATCACATGAAGCGTTCAGGAGTTGGGGTCTTTAGGGTTGCCTTAGGAATTAAAGAGACAGTGGGCATGAGTACTGTTCTAGACACATAGACAAAGGCCAGTGCTGGCAGTGGAGTCAGGAGGGTAGGGAGAGGGCACAGCTGTCTGCCAGTTCTACCTTAAAAGAGGTAGGCCCCACCTTGAGAAGATTTTGTGCCTTCTGAATCTTTGTGAGTTTGCCCAGAAGTTGCTCATCATCCAGTTTAGGGAAGCCGAGAAGTTGCAAGAGGTTGCTGAGGATAGGTCCTGGTCCCTGAGATCACTGATGTTAGCCTGAATCATTAAGTGGCTGTATGTATGTATATCAGTGTGGTCGGTGCTGATGAAGAGAGTAGGCAGTGAGTGAAAGAAGGAAACGAAGTTAAGGACTTTTCTAGACTTTTGATCCGTGTGTCATCTTATCCAATCCTCAGAACTAGATGAGAAAAGGAGGCTTAGAGAAGTGACGTACGTCTAATGCCACACAGCAAAAAAGTGGCAGGGTTCTGCCACAGGCTTAGCTGATAGCGTAGTTAGAGGCATTTCCTCTTTGTCAGTTTGCTGCATGGCTTGCTAATAAGGGCGTGCGGAAAAGGTGGACTCTAAGTAAGTTTTGTTGTGTTAGGCATCTCTATTGCAGAACTTCTCAGGGCCTTTAAAATACCCATATGTATTGTGAGGTTCTGAGAAGGGATATGGGATGCATTGTGGACTGTATTCTTCAGTAGGTTCACTGGTGGGCAAAATGCTTTCCAGAGTGATGCCTGTGAACCATTGCAAACATGGTAGTGGCTTCCACATGCCAATCAGCAGTAACATGGGCAACATGGTGCTTGGAGCTAGAAATAGAGAGCTTGGCTCCCAGTGGAAATTCCCCCACTTGCCATAGGGCAGAAATTGCCTTTGAAACAACGATTCCTCCCCGTTTCATGTTGCTCTTTCTTGGGGCTCAGTCCCAGGCCGTCTGCTTTTCTGAATCTGTGTGCATGCTTACACACTGAGTGGGTGAATAGGGAAAATTCTCATCTGGAAGTAACAGAACACCCAACTGACAGTTATTCCACAGATTCTGAAATTTGGGGACAGGCAGTTGAGGGCCCTGGCAGTAACTCAGAGATAGCAGGCACTTTCCCTCTTTCTCGTCTTCTGTTTTGAATCATGCCAGCCATTTGTCCTCAGGCTTATTGCTTCTTCATCGCAAGATGGCTGTCATAGCTTTAGGCATCACAACATTTGAAGATAGGAATAGGTAGTTGGGTAGGTTTGAATTTAGCAGCTAAAAAGGGCTTTTTCTCAATCGGCTCTGTCCATTTCTAATCCATAAAGGAAAATATTTCCCAGTAGTCCCTTTTGCCTCTTTTGCAGGAATGGTGTTATGTGGCTACCCCTAGTTTTGAGGGCAGCTAGGAAAGACTTGATTGATATAGATGGATTATGATCTGTTCTCTGGGGCTAGGCAGAATGTTTTTCTGTTGGTAAGGAGTGCGGTGTTGGAGGTGGGGGGCAGATTGAAAGGCTCTTGGGTTGTCTGCCTGTGTTGAAATTGGTTATCTTTTATAAGACTTTATTCAGCACCTGTGTGCTGATAGTGCCCTCATCTGCCTGAGTCTCCTGAACAAACCGGCCCACATGTCAGTTCCTCTTGGGTTTACTCAGGGGCCAACCTTGGCTCTCCCCTGCCCTATTCCTCCCATATCTAGTCTGTGTGCAGGCTCCATGGATTCTTTCTCCTTACTGAATGACTTTGTGTGTTCCTGACTCTCTAGCCGTGCTGTGCCCCTCCCCATTTTCTCTCTCCTGTTTTCCTTATTAGTACCTTCTCATGGCTAGCAGTGCAATTTTCTTTTTCTCTAAACATTTAACATTTTATTATTAATATTAGATTGTAAATGAATATTTTCTCTTTTGGTATACGGTTTATGATTTAACACATGTACACATTCATGTAAACACCCTCATAATTAGGATATGTAGCAACTCTATCCAAAAAAACTCCCTAGTACTATTTTTTTATAGTTAACCCTCCCCCATCCATAGCTCCTGGCTACCACTGATATTCATCATCCTTATATTTTTGTCTTTTTTTGAGAATGTAATGCAAATGGAATCATATAGTATGCAATCTTTTGAAACTGGCTTCTTTTACTCACATAAAATGCATTACCTTTGAGATGCATTCAAGTTGTATATATGAATAATTCATTTTTTTTTATTGCTGAGTCGTATTCCGTAGTGTGTGTAAGGATATCGTGGGCACTCAAGCAGAGGGGTAAGGGGAAAGCATTCCCTAGCAATATGGCGCCCTTCCCGGTTCTTCTCCTCAGTAAACAAGCCCGCCGGGGCCAACACCCAAGCCCACCCGCGCCAAACCTCAGCCAGTCACAGGTCAAGGCTCACTTCCTGCCCAGTCCCGTCCAATCAGTTACCGCCCCATCCACCCCCTATCCAAACCCAGAACGCAGCTCCCTATAAATATACCCTATAAATATACCTGCAGTCCTTGAATAAAGCGGAACTTCTCTGGCGAACTGTTAGCCCAGGTCTCCCGTGATTCCTTTGTCCGTGCGCCCCTTCAGTGTGGATATACCATAGTTTGTTTAATTATGTACTTGTTGAAGGACATTTGGATTGTTTCCAGTTTTTGCCTACTATGATTAAAAGCTGCTGTAACATTTGTGTGTAGGCTTTTTCCCCCCTCAATTTTTTTATAGTGGAAAAATACACGTAACATAAAGTTTACCATCTTAACTATTTTAAAGTGTACAGTTCAGTGGTATAGGTTGAGCATCCTGAATCTAAAAATCCAAAATCCAAAGTGCTTCAAAATCTGAAACTTTTTGAGCTCTGACAAGATACTCAAAGGAAATGTTCATTGGAGCATTTTGTATTTTGGATTTTTGGATTAGGGATACTGGATCAGCATAATACAAATATTCCAAAGTTTGAAAAAGTCCAAAATTCAAAACTCTTCTGTTCCCAAGCATTTCAGATAAAGGATAGTCAACCTGTATTAAATATATTCATATTGTTGTGCAATCATCACCACTGTCCAGCTCCAGAAATCTTTTTATCCTGCAAAACTGAAACTCTATACCCATTAAACAATAACTCCTTATTACATCTACCTTCATTCCCTGGCTACTACCATTTTACTTTCTGTCTCTGTGGTTTTGCCTTATCTAAGTACCTCATGTAAGTGGAATTATGCAGTATTTGTCTTTTTGTGACTGGCCTGCGTATAGGTTTTTGTGTGAACATAAGACTTCATTTCTCTGAGATAAATGCCCAGGAGTATAATTGCTGTGTTCTGTGATACTTGCATGTTTAAATTTTTAAAGAAGCCACTGAACTTTTCCAGAGTGACAGTACCATTTTACATTTTTATCAGCAATGTTGTAGGTCCAGTCATCTGCAGAGTTGAATTAAATTTCTAGAGAGGTGACTCTGGTCACTTTTGGGTTAGGTGTGTTTACTCTCAGAGTAGTTATCACTGGCCGATTTCGAAAATAGTGGTTGACAATAAGCACCACTCCTGTAATCATTCATGTGGATTGGGGTGGATGTGGAGAGAAGATTGAACTCTATCTACAAAAGGAGGCCTTGGTAGAAAACCCAGTAGGTGTCCACTATGGTCGTGGCTTCCAAACCTGTGTGTATATCAGAATCATCTGAGGAGTTCTTCATAATACAGATTCATGGGTTACATACAGACCTACTAAATTGGTATCTGTATTTTTATCAAGGACTCAAGAGAGTTTTACGTAGTCATGCCCACATTACTTGGGAACTGTTGCTCTGTAAGATCTATGCTGTTTCCAAAATTTAAAAGTTTTAAAAACATATGCTATACCACCTACCAAATGAAAAATTTCCCATTCTCTTCCTATCTTTTTCTTTAGCTCTATGTTTATATTTCTGTCCCCTCTCTGATATTTAATTCTATTTTTTATTTTCTCTTTTCCATTTAGTTTTTCACTGGTCTCTATTTTTTGCATGTGTCTACTGATAAATTACTGATTGCTTTTTTCTCTGTTCTTACTTAGCCCTGAAATTGTAACTTTGTTTCTAGATTCTCTCTTCCTCTGCTGTTTAAAGTGTTTGCTCTTCAGCGTCCCGTGTTCATTTTATTTTTCATACCAAGTTTTATTTATTCTCTTCTTTGGGTGGATCTGAGTCTCTCTCACTGATAATTCTTAACTTTCAATGGCAAGAGTAGAAAATAACTGTTAGAGTTTATGGAGGAACCTTTAAGTTGTTATGTCTAAAGGTTGAAGTTCTTAAGAAGGCTCACCAGTCTTTTTTTTTTTTTTTTTTTCTCCTTTTCTCACAGGGAAGAAGAAGAACGTCTGAGAAATAAAATTCGAGCTGATCATGAGAAGGCCCTGGAAGAAGCAAAAGAAAAATTAAGGAAGTCAAAAGAAGAAATTCGAGCAGAAATTCAGACAGAGAAAAATAAAGTAGTCCAAGAAATGAAGACGAAAGAGAACAAGCCACTGCCACCAGTCCCTATTCCAAACCTTGTAGGAATAAATGGGGGAGACCCAGAAGATAATGACATAAGAAAGAAAAGGGAAAAAATTAAAGAGGTAATAAGCTGAGATTTGTGATATGGAGTGGTAATGGATATGTATTTGACTGGAGATTTTATATATATATATATATACTCTGGTGTCATACTTTGATCTTGTTTGTTCTTCAATCTTAGTTGTAGTTCAGTTTCCAAGTTGGCAATAAGGACTAGAACTCAGTCTTTTTCTTAATATTGATTATAATATAATTATTGGACTCTTAAAATTTTTTTATAAGGTTCTTAGGATGGTTACATCCCTCACCCTGTGTTCACAGATCTTTTGAAATTCAGCATTTTATAAATAATAGATTCATGTGTAATTTATCATTGAATAAGCCATTTCTTAAGTGTTCAGTTACAAGGGACTCTACTAGATACTTTGGAAATCTCTTCATAAACATGCCTCTAAAGAGTTAGTGTTATATCTGCTGTCATTTAAGGAACATGTCATGATACCTCTCAACCATACTGTGGATTAAGAGCACATTCCTTCCAAAGACTGGGTGGAAGAAAGGGAAAGGATCGATCTCAAAATTCTGTAAATTTGTTTAACCTCAGAAGTCTTACAGTTTGTTTTTCTAGGAATTACTTAGAGCTAAAGACAATGTGGGGGGTAATCTAGTGAATATTTGACCTAAATTTGCTAGTTAGAATTACTGATAATTCTAGGTGGAGTTTGCAGTTGTACTGCCTATGAATAAAAAGATTTCGTCAGAGTATAATAGCATCAACAACATTTCAAAAGCCTCGTTTATTATTAAATAATACATTTAGTTCACATAGTCAAATATCTATTTGAATATATTCAAGTAATGGCTGTAGAAAGTTTAGCAGATATTTTAAGCTTGGCCTTATGAGTTATTAGAAACCTTGACCTTAATGGACTCAGAATAGAGCTATATTCTGATTTTACCTCACATCTAAGTCTGTGTTTTATACATAGACTGCTTAAGGCAATTTCTTTGGACAGTGTCACGGAGACATTGATAGATTTTTTTTTCAGATGTCTGACTTGCTTTTTTCAGATGTCATTACAATTTATTGAATACTTTCTCATATATAATGCAGACTACTAACCATGTGTGTTCCAGGGACTCTAATATGGCCCTCATGTTCAGTAATTTATAAGAAATACTCACAGACCTTAACATATAGAAATACATTTGATTCTAGTTTGCTGAAATTATATCCTGTTATTTTACTGAAGTCATTTATTAATTCTAGTGGCCTTTTTTGTAGATTGCTTGGAATTTTCCTTGTGCAGTGTCATGTTCTTTCTAATAGAAGTACTTTTCCTTTTTCTGTTTTGATTTTTATACCTTTTATTTTTTTTCTCTTGCCATATTGTGTAGGCTAGGACTTCCACCATATTGTTGAAAAGAAGTGGTGAGAATGGACATACTATATTTGTTCCTGACCCTAGGGGTTAAACATTTAGTCTTTTACCAATGAGTGTAATGTGTTAGCTGTAGGTTTTGAAGATGCCTATTGTGTAGGCTAGGACTTCCACCATATTGTTGAAAAGAAGTGGTGAGAATGGACATACTAGATTTGTTCCTGACCCTAGGGGTTAAACATTTAGTCTTTTACCAATGAGTGTAATGTGTTAGCTGTAGGTTTTGAAGATGCCACTTATTAGGTTGAGGAGGTTTCCTTGTAGCTTACTGAGAGTTTTTGTCATGAATGGGCATTGAATTTTGTTAAATTCTTTGCCCACATTTTTGTCTAGATGATTGTATTATTTTCCCCCTTTATTTTGTTAACATGGTTATGTTGATTGGTTTTTAAATGTTAAATTAGTTTTATATTCCTGGGTTAAAATGCACATGGTCATAGTGTAGTATCCTCCTTACATATTGCTAATTTTTGTTAAGAAATTTTGCACCTGTGTTCTTTAGATATATTAGTCTTGGATTTTCTTGTAACATGTGCCTGATTTTGGTGTTTGAGTAATTTTGGATGTGTAAAACAAGTTGGGAAGTGTTTTAATGAATGGTATGCTGTGAAATGAATAGGTTTTTGATATACCACAGTCTACTATTATGTAATTCAGCTGATATATTATTAAATACTCTGCTATTGTACAGCTCAGAAATCCTTGGTTTGTAAGAGACTCAGCTCAAACAAATTGATATACAAATATTTATTAGCTTAATGGCTGTAAACTAGGGCTTCAGTCTTGGCTGAATTCAAGTCTGTAGATATAATTGTCAGTAATACACATCTGTCTTTGCCTCTCTCATTCATCCATCCATCCATCCATTCATTCATTCATTTGGTGGCTTGGTATTATATCACCACTCTCTAACTAACTGACCTAACTGGCCAGTCCAATAAATGTTTTATTTAAATATTTAAATGCCACATGCTACAATACCTGATACAAGTATGTAAAGTATATTCAAAATTTGAAATTACTCAAACATTAGGAATTGTATTGATTCACATATATGTCTCTAAACATTAAACATTTGGTTTTATAACTAAATGTATGAGTGACTTCCTAGTTTTATAACTAAATGTATGAGTGAGTGACTTCATCTCTTTTGTTTTCACTATTTATTTATTTATTTTCATTGTACATCCTTATGGGGTACAGTTTGTTGTTACAATACATGCATGTATTAAATAATGATCCTATCAGAATAGTTAGTATATCTATCACCTAAACATTTATTATTTTTTTGTGGTTAAAACATTCAAGATCCTCTTTACTGGCTATCTTTAAATATATAGTGCAATATTATTAGCTGTTGTCACCCTAGAGCACCAGAACTTATTCTTCCTATCTGTTTGTAACTTTGTGCTGGCCTACCAACCTTTCTCCTTCCCACTCTGCCCCCTCCCTTTCCCTACCTTTGGTAACCACTATTCTACACTCTATTTCTCTTTTTTTAAAAAATCTTTTTTAATTGACCTATGATAGTTTTGTATATTTGTGGAGTACAACATGATATTTGAGTACATTCATACTGTGTACAATGATCATATCAGGGCACTTAGAATATCCATCACCTCAAACATTTGTCCCCTCTTTGTGTTGGGAACAGTCTCTTTCTCCTTTTATTATTTAGTTTTTCCATGTTGAGAGAGAGTTAGCCCTTATCAGTTTCGTGATTATATATTACATAGATCTTGAGAGAGCAAAATGAGAGTCCCTCTGTCTCCCACTGTCTGTAACAATATGTGTAAGAAGGACTTGATTGTCCTACTTGAATCTTATGTACTGAATCACTTTATCTAGGGCAGCGGTTGGCAAACTACAACCATGGGCCAAATTTTGCCTATTGCCTGTTTTTTAAAAATAAAGTTTAATTGGAACACAGCCGTGCCCATTTGTTTACATATTATCTTGGACTGCTTTTTGCTGTAATAGCAGAGTTAAAATGTGCTGATCTCTGGTCTAAGGGTAAAGGGTTTTCTAGCCACACTGAGTTAATTGGTGGTAGAAACTGGGTTCCTTGACTGTCAGCTCTGTTATAATCACAGTGAGAGAAGGGAAGCTGTTCCCAAAAGGATTGGCAGTTCTTAAAAGGAAAGAATGCCAAGCAGACATCTTCCTCCCAAGAAGAAGAACTTATCTATTAGATCCAATTTTTTTCTGTCATATAGATTGAGATTAAACATAGTTATGTGTGTTTTCACACCAATGCAAATGTTAATTGAATAATATACTAGTGAGGAGATCTAGGAGAATGGATAAGGATATAGTAAAATATCCCTAAGTTACATAAAATTTAAAACTAATAGTTTGTGAATAATTTAAGTTGATGGATTATAATTTTTCTCTTCTCAGATGATGAAACATGCCTGGGATAATTATAGGACATATGGATGGGGACATAATGAACTCAGACCTATTGCAAAGAAAGGACACTCCACTAACATATTTGGTAAGTTTACTTTCTAACTACTATTTCCATTTTCTGCCTCCATCTTTTAAAACAAGGTCTAACTTTTAAAAGTACTTTCTAAAATCTAAGTATTCTGTGGAACTATAATTTGAAGAAATGTATATTTTGCAAGTTTCATTCAAGATTTAGTTCCAGTTGCTTTGGAATTCAGAGTATGTGGTAGATTTTCTATTTATGTATAGATGCATTAGTCATTTATCTGAGTATTTTGAAGCTTTTCTCTGCATATTTTACTGTAATGTCACGAAAGGTAGGTATCTATTTATAATTTTTTCTTTGACGCAATACCAGTTGTGAAACTCAGGAAGAGGGAAAAGATAGGAAATTTCAGTAATGCTATGTACTTTAAAAAAAAAAAAAAAAAAGACGTAACATGCCCAAGGTGGTTTGGCTGGTAAATTGAGTGGGTTGTGTTTTACATTCACAGTTCCTAAGGAAAAATTAACAATGTGTTGTGAATGAAGGTTTGAGGAAGAGTTGTGTTGATCTTGAGTTTGTTCTAACTTTCTACCTCTTTTGAACTCAGTCCACTTGTTACACTTTCCAGTTTAACCTACTCAAAGAGTAAGTTAACTTAACTAACTTAATTAACAACTTTTAGTAAACCCAGGGATAAGTCTTAAGAATTGCCAAGCTGTTCTTTGAACTCTTCACTCCTTTCTCTCATTTTAAATGCTTCCTGATGTGATGAGTATCTTTTAAGAAACAGTAGGTGAAGGCAAGAAAATTTTATGGAGTAAGAAGGGACACATACTAGTTGTTGCAATGCAGTTTTCTTAATTTTAGTACACCATCACGATAATCCAAATAACAGCAATTTTCTTTGTGACGTCATGCAATACTTTTTCTAATGCTGTGATTTCCCTTATAATTTGTTTGTTGTTGCTTGTTTTCTGTCGAAAAGGAAAATGTCTTAAAAAATAATTTCTCATGTTTTTGAGAAGTTTACTCAGTAGCTACCAGAAATCTCATAATTTGATATTTAATTTAGCAGCTATCACTTAATGGAATAAAGTATATTTCCTCAGTAGAGGTTATAGATTGAAAAGTTCCTGTTGCTTTGTGGATGTCACAGTATGAGGCATTAGTGCACTAAAAGACATTCTATTTAATGGTTAATTGAAACTAGATTGACCCTTCAAGTAGCCATCCCTTTATATTAAACTCAGTGGTAAACTCTGAGCCCTTTTAAAGGATTGGAATATAAACATGAATTGAAAATAAAAACTGGTTGTTAATTTTCTACTTTTTTCAAACAATATTTCTTAGACCATCTTATGTATTAGCATTTATCAAATAGATACTGGTCCTGATCCTGCTTCAGTAAACTTTAAAGACAGAAAAAAATTAATTTCAACACATAGGGAAACATCCATTATGAAGATAACATTATAGTGATATTGTAGAAAAAGCAAAAATGCAATCTGCAGAATTCCCAGTAGTCAAAATTAGGTGCTTATATCCTTTATTGTTTTTTGAATCGTTATATTTTTTTCCTGCCAAATAAGCTAAGTAGGAATAGATCCTTTATTGTATGTTTTGTCTTACTTTTGTAGATATGCCATGAGTTTATTAAAGGATTAATTTTTAAAGTTTGAGTTTGCTTCCTACTTAATCTGTTCCTTTTGTGCATCTTGTATTCTTGCTAGTATGATTTGAGTTTTTTAAAAAAATCTGTTTTTTACCTTTTCTTTTTATTTTTAATAAAAAACGTCTAAGAGAAGCATAGTAGCTTTCATGTCTCATTTTACATCCCAAATTCAATATGCCTTTATAGAATCAGCATCTTGAAGTCAGGAGCTTTAAAAGTCCAGCGTTTCTATTACTATAGGAACATATAGATGGGTGTAGAACCTTTACTTGCAATATTCTAGATTGTAGGGAAAACATTAACTTAAAACTTTTTCCTTTTTCTTAACCTTGATTACTAAATAATTCTTTTGTATGGTAACTGAAATCAGTGTTCCTCTGACTTCTGTCTAGTTAATCCTTGGCATCAGAGGACTCTTTACGTGCAGATAGCAGAAAATCCATTGCGAAATGCTTGATCTAAAAAGGAAATTTAATCAGCTTCATGAAGTCCTGGTGTAGATCTGATTCCAGCTAGCCTTTTTTTTCTTTATACCTTTCCTCTCTTTTGCTGTGTGTTGATGCCTTCAGGCTAGCTTAGCAGGATGGCAGCAGCAGTTTGAAGCTTCATATCTTCGTGTTGCCACATTTGTAGAAAAGAGAACACTGAAGAGAAAACAGCACTTGCATTTCTTAGAAGCCTCGTCGAAAGACTCATTATTTCTTGTTGTCTCTGATTGGGTCATCTGCCCATGGTTAAACCAAATTCTGTATCTAGAAGGATGCGATATGTTCATTTGGTTTTGCCTGGTTAGGGTCTGCCTCTGGAGCTCATGAGTGAGGAGAGGGAAGTATTGCTGGATATAAGTTAGCACAGATACTAATTATTCAAACAGTGATTATTAATAGAATGAATTCTTTTTACTTAGGTATTCTAGAAAATTGGCAGAGTTTTGTTAGGGATAGTTTTTTTTTTTTTTTACATTTAAAAAAGAGTACCTTTTGACTTTGCAATGATTTTAGAAGGGTGCTTTTTAGTTTCCATGTGTTTGTATGGATGTGTGTGTATGTGGATGTATGTGTATGTAGATAAATTCTTTTTAAAAATTTTTGACTTGGGGCCAGCCCGGTGGCGCACTGGAAGTGCGCCGCTTGGGAAGCGCGGCGGTGCTCCCGCCCGAGGGTTCGGATCCCACATACGGACTGGTTCCCGCTCACTGGCTGAGTGAGGTGCGGGAGCGCGAGGGTTCGGATCCCACATACGGACCGGTTCCCGCTCACTGGCTGAGTGAGGTGCGGGAGCGACGCCGAGGGTTGCAATCCTGTTGCTGGTCCCCGGTCCGGTATGGGGGCAACACTGAGGGCTGCGATCCATTGCTGGACACGGAAAAAGACAAAAGACAAAAAAAAAAAAATTTTTGACTTAACTGTCATTTGATTTGTTAATATTTTATTGATGATTTTTGCTTCCATATTCATGAGGGTTATTGTTCTGTACCTTTCTTTAACTGTCTTTGTCTGGTTTTGGTATCAGGGTAATGCTGGCCTCAGGAAATGAGTTGGGAAGTGTTCTCTGTTCTTCATTTTTCTGGAAGAGATTGTTTAGGTTCAATTTTATTTTTTCCTTAAATATTTAGTATAATTTGACTGTGAAACCATCTGCATCTGGATATTTTTTTTTTTTTTTTGGACCGGTAAGGGGATCGCAACCTTCAGCACGGTGTGGTCTGCACCACGCTGAGCCACTGAGCACACTGGCTATCCCTATATAGGATCTGAACCTGCGGCCTCGGAGCTACCAGTGCTGCACTCTCCTGAGTTGGGGCTGGCCCTCGATATTTTTTTTTTTTTGAAGGTTTTTAAACTAAATTTCTCTAATAGTAAGGATCCGTTTGTCTGTTTAACCTTGGGTGACATTTGATAGTTTGTGGTTTTTAAGGAAGTGGTCTGCTTCATCTAAGTTGTGATTTTATGTGTGTAGAGTTATTTGGAGTATTGCCTTGTTGTCATTTGAATGTCTGTGACAGTATTGACAATCTCCTTTCATTCCTAATATTAGTAATTTTTGTTTTCTGTCATTTTCTTTGTCAGTCCTGCTAGAAGTGTATTAATTTTACTGATCTTTTCAAAGAAGCAGATTTTGGTTTCATTGATCTTTTTAATGTTTTCTTTATTCTTTCAGTACCTTTGATTTCTGCTCTTATTTTCTTCCTTTTACATGATTTAGGTTGATTTTGTTTGTGCTTTTCCAGGTCCTTGAAGTAGAAGTCTAGGTTGTTGATTTGAGATCTTTTCTAGTGTAATTATTTAATACTATAAATTTCCATGCCAAGTGCTGTTTAAGCTGCATCCCAGAGATTTCGATATGTTGTGTTTTTATTTTCATTCAATTTAGTATGTTCTAAAATTTCCCTTGAGCAAGTTGTTTAATTTCCAAGTGTTTAGAGATTTCACTTTTATCCTTTTTGTTATTGATTGCTAATTTTAATTCCATTTTGGTCAGAGAATGTACTTCATATGATTTCAATTCTTTTAAATTGTTTTAGGTTTGTTTTATGACCTGGAATATGGTTGGTGTATTTCCATTTGTGCTTAGAAAGAATGCAAATATGTGTATTCCACTGTTAATTGTGTGGAATGTTATATTGATATCAGTTAGATCCCATGAGGTAATGGGGTTGTTTGGGCTTTCTCTATACTATCTGATTTTCTGTGTAGTCATTCTGTCAATTACTGAGAGAGGGGTGTTTAAGACCCCAACTCTTATTTTGGATTTGTGTTTTACTAGTTTTAGTTCAGTCAGTTTTTGCTTCACGTATTTTGAGGTGCTCTTGTTGGGTGTTTATGCATTTAGGATTGTTATGTCTTCTTGGTAGCACCACTAAAGCCCAAATACCAAAACCAGACAAAGATATTACAAGAAAAGGAAACTATAGACCAATATCCTTCATGAATATATACATAAAAATCTTCAATCAATCAAATCTTAGCCAATCTAAGTCAGCAATTATAAAAAATATA